CGCGTCCTGGGGAGGGTACATTTGTTGCGCGCCGGAGACGAGACTGGACGCCGCTGAGATCGGAGATCAAGCTCTGGCAGGTGGCACGTCGCTCCGTTGACGCCGACGTGACTCACCCGTGCAGATCACATCAGGACACGGTCTCGACGCGCTCGGTACGACGCCTGCGACCCGTCTCGGGTCAGGTGGCACGACGCTCATCGCGCCTACCAGCGCTGCCATACAGGTTGCCACGACGAGGTCGAGCACGCTTCTATACGCTCGCCGAGCCTTCCTTTCCATCCCATTAGGCAGCCTGGGAACGGTGGCGGTCAGAGGCAAAGCCTGCGAGGGGCGGTGGAACCACATGTCGCGGCTACTGCCGGCTCGACGCCACGATAGCCTCCGAAGGCTGACTTTGCGGCACCATCATCGGACGATGTCGACGAGTTGGGTCGCTCTCGCGGTAGCAAGATGACCTCTCTTCCTAGGAGCATCGGCCATGGCCGCAGGGAGCGCGGGGGAGGGCGCTGGAAGCAACACGGAGCTCCGTTGGAGACGTTTTCAAGATTAGCGTGTCAGAGTGAAATGGCACTAGCCAGTGTGTTATATATATATCAAAAGCTTTTGTTATATATTATATCAAAAGCTTAGGCCCACAACGCCCTCTCTATGTTGGGTCAAGGGCGCCTAGAAGAAGGCGCCGCCCCCCCCGAAGAGGAATCCCACCCGTACCCCGAGCCCCCGTCGAAGAGCGCGTCGAAAGCGTCGTCGCCTTCGTCGTACTCCTCCGCGTCAAAGCACCGGACCGGCTCCCCCCCCGGCCGTGCTCCCTTGCCCAGCGCATCTGCCGAACATGCGCACGCTGCTGCTCGCGCGCCATCTCCTCCGCGGCGCGCGGCGTCCACCCGGTGGACGCCAACAGCGACTCGAGCGTCGCGCGATAAGTCGCCTCGCCTTCCTCGCGTGATGCCACCTCGCCCGCCTCCTTCGCCACCGCCTTCTTCCCACGCCTTTTGTAGTGCCAGTCCGAGCCAGTCTGCTGTACAGGGGCTTGCACAAACTGTAAAATTCTTCCCACGCCGCGATAGCTTCTGCCGCCGCTTGCTCCAGTGTGTTTTCCCAGTCCGCGCCAGTCCGCGCCCTTGTCGTGCCAGTGTGCTGTGAGAGAGCCTTGTACCCAATCGTGCCGCGATGGCACTGCCGCCGCCGTACGTGTCCGCCCTCGTACAACGCACCCGCCTCGTCACGCGGCGGATGTAGAGCTCTACCAGCTCTACAGCGCTCCAGAGCGCTCTACATCTCTACAGCTCTACAGCTCTACACTCTACATCCTCTACACCCCTCCCCCTCACTCAGCGCGGCGTATTTTGGCCCCTCAAGTTTATCAAGCTCTCCTCGCGCAAGGACGACTCTTCTGACACCCGCACTCCGATCATTTGCCGCCAAGTCATGTCTCGTTGCTCAGCTCCACGGGGGCGGGGCGGGGCTGAGCGGGGTGGATCGGGTCGGGGCGGGGCGGGGCGGGGCTTGGCCTGCACAAGCCTTTCCGGCAAACAAAAGGGAAATCAGTCAGAGGGTCCCCAGCAAAATGGCGGGGTGGCGGCTCTACGGCCTCGACAACAGGCCAGAGACTCCCATGGACGCGACCACCTATCTGCGCGTCCAACTGTGCGGCCTCACCGCACCGGCGCACCCTTTCTCCCCATCTCAGACGCTCACTACTCTCGCAGATCGTTCGATGCTGCTGTGCCCATGCACCTCGACGCCGCGCGATTCCTGCTCGCCGTGACGCGCGCCCGCGTGGCGCTGACCGGCGACGTCGGCGCTGCTGATCCGGTGAGCGATGCATGTACGACACACGGACGATGTTGCTTGTGCATCGGCACACTCGCACTTCCTTCACTCAGGTCGCGCTGGTCCACTATGACCACGAGCGGCTCGAGGCCACCCTCCGCGTCCCCGAGCGGCGCGCTGCCGCCGACGCCACCGCCCACCGCCGCGTACCGCATCCACTGAGACTGCTTTTCACCGCCTTCCTCATATGACCTTTGGCGAGCCTCCCTCGGAAGCCGCAACGCCACTCACCGCCAGCCCAGCCTCGTCTCGTGCACCCAGCCCCGTGCCCACAGGGCGCAACCCCAGCCCTGTGCCCACGGCGCTGCGCCTCCATCGCGCCCCGCAGGAGCGCGGCACAGCTACGCAGTGCGCTCACGGTGGGTGTGGCAGCACCGCGCCCTTGCCGCGAGCCGCATCTCCTCACCCCGCGTGTGCGTGAGCAGGTGCTGCGGGAGGTGGAGCAGGCCGCCTGCCGCGCCAGGGTGCTAGTGGAGGCGTCTTCGCTCGCCAGCCTCGCAGCGGACAGCAGGGGCTTTCTACGCAGAATGGCGGTCGTGGCAGAGAGCGAGAGGTGACGCAACTGACAGGGTTATTCTATCGGACTTATACGGAATGTCGTGTGGAGCGGAGACTACGCACATATAGCAGCGAGTTACATATTGACGGCGCTCATCACGGTTCACGGCGTACGAGAACACGAGCAAGCGGAGCGGGACGAAAACGAAAAAAAAGCTGAAGGGTGCGCGCGCGCGGTCCCGACGCGTGTCTCGTCACAGCACTTGGAGCTCACACACGCGAAAAAAACAGTCCGTCACACACGACACACCAAAAACATGGACTCAGCGCGCCACGCGTACCTGGCACGACACAAGCCGGTGGTGGCAAAGCGCGAAGGGGCCTTACAGTGGGGCTGATGCTTGTCCGGTCGTTCAGGTCTCCTGCAGAGTATACTGTTGAAAGCCGCACACACGCCGCGGCGCTGTGGCGGTCGCAGCGGCGGGGAACGTGTGGCTGTGCCGGAGGGGAACTGAATACCTCAGTGGGCACGGTCTTTCTGCAGCGCTGCAGCCGGTCGATGCTGCCGGGTCGGGCCACGCCGCGCTCATTCTGGCCGTGCATGTACGGGTGGGGTCGGGCCAACTGCTCAGCTGATGGCACACGTCCATTCGCACCGGTTTGCATGCCGTACACCGCGCTGGATCTGGATGGATGGGGGCGCTGGCGGTCGCTGCATCCACCGAGGCCGCAGCCTTCACCATCAGTATAGCCAGCACGCGCCTGGCAGAGCGGTGGTGTACCGCGCGCAGAAGCAATAGCGCGCCGAGCGCAATGGTGGCAACGAGCCCTTCGGCGGCACCTCCCGACGCGCGCGACACAGCGGAGAGCGGCTCGGGCATGGACGGCGTACGGCGCGAGCGGGGCTCCGGCGGGGCCCGACGTGCACGCGCGGCTGCAAGTTGCCCGTCGCCCGGGAACGAAGGCGCGTCAACACACCGGCCCGGGGGGGCGTGTGGCTGGGTGTTTCTTGCCGACCCGCTGTGTGGAAGCCTGGCGAGTAGAGGCCCCGCCCACCCAGGGTACCCTCTCCGAGGACCCATTTGGAGACTCTCGGCTCTGCTCCATTTGGAGACTCGCCATTTGGAGACTCGCCGGGGCTCTGCTCCAAGAGACCTACCTCGAGAGCGCGTGCGTGTGCCTCTACTCGCCCGGGGGCGGGCCCCTGCACACAGCTGGGACGACGGCATGGAGTTGCTGGGGGGCTGCTGTGGAAAGAATTTGTGGAACGAATTTTACAACGGCCAACGCTCCCTCTCACGACACTGGGCACGGGAATGGCGCGCACTGGCACCAACACGCTGTGGAAAAAAGCTTTCGTCATTGCTAGCGGCATTGTCTGTCGCTGCTCGCCCCTGCACCAGAGAGAGAAAAGGTCGGCGCGCCACCGCAGCTCACCGATGGAGCTTGCGGAGCGGACACCAGCGAGGGAGGGCGAGACGATCGAGGGGTCCCGTACCATGCGGAACCGACCCTATCCAGTGCTCAAGTGCTCAAGAGAGAAAACTCATCCAGGGTGAGAGTACCTCGACGCTCGACAGTCAGTCGCGCGCCTTGCGGGGGGGAACCTCTTAGCGCCATCGCCATGGTGCTGCAAGCAGCGCCGGACGACGACGGCTTACCGCCTCCCGATCCCCCTCGGCACACCTCCGCTGCTTAATGTTTGAGAGAGAGCTCTCTTCTCAATGTTTGACGACTCGAACCCGTGAAGCTTCCCCGTGTGTGCGCGGGTTACCCCGCACACGGGTCAGCCTGCCAGCCACGTATCCACGCCAGCGTGGTCCGCGCGCATGGCATACAGGCGTTCGCCAGACAGCGCGCAGGCTAGCCCGCAGAGGCTAGGCGACCGGGGAAGGACAAGGGCAACACGTCGTCACCAGCCGTTGGCGCGCAGAACGGGTCTGCGGCCCCCGGCTGGGACGAGTGCGCGACGCGGGCGAACCGCTCAATATGGCCGGCAGCTCGCGCTGCCGGCGGGTTGGTTGGGGAGAACCGGCATGGGGAAAGCCGGCCTCCCCGGAGGGATTGCCCCCCGGAGAGGGCCCCCAACGTCATAGTGCCAACTTCCCACCTCTCCACAGGAAGGACTCACAACAAAACAACAGGACTCAACAGGTGGATCCACAGGCTCTTGGGCCCCTTGCAGGGCGTGTATCTTGGCACCTTGGCGTACGCAGTTGATTGAATGATGGGAGGTGATGTTTTCTGGAAGAAAGAGTCGTCGTTCGAACGAAACAAACTGCGTGCGGCGAGGACCAACGGGCGATGGTGGGGCGCCGGGAAGGGGGGAAGACGTAAGAGTGTGAGGCTCTTTCGAACATAGCACGGTTTGCTTTGGGGAGCGCGACCGATTTTAATTACAAGGGTGCTTCTTATGTCTAGCACGCGCCAGTTCGCACCTGTGTCGAGCCTGTCTGCTGTGAGAGAGAGTTCTTTTGTTTAAATTCTTATGTTGGTAAAATCCATACTCTACTAAGTCCACGTACACATGCCACGCCTAGTCGCGCTGATCCTCACAGCGGCGGGTCGCGCGAACGCCAATAAAGCACTGCTCGAGTTTGTGCTCGGAGGACACCGCGGCTCGCTCGCGTCGTGGCAGCTTCACCTGCCAGCTGCGATTGGGTTTGGCATCCTCTGTGTTTGCGGCTGGCTCACCGAGGCTCAGCAGCAGGGTACGCGCATAGTCATGGTCATCGCATTTTGCCTCGTCATCGCGTTGAGCACGGTCTGTCTGGAGGACAGCTGCAGCTCTCCCGCTGCATACACAACCACGATCAGCCAAGTGTCGGCGTCGTACGTGTGGCAGGGCTACGTCTTCATGTTCTTTGCGCTGTCGATGTCAGCTTACATCGTCATCGAGCGCCTCGACTTTATGCAGATGTGGCGCATCTACCACACAGGCGTGCTCGAGATGGGACTGATAAGCAAGCTCTTTCGTTTCCGCGCGTACAAGCTGGTCGCAGACGCGGTGCGGCGGGATGGTCCGGAGCAGAAAGGGTCAGCACGCCACAGTGTCACCACAGGGAAGGTGATGGCCGGCGAGGTGACTTGCTACGAGCTTGTCCGGCTCGCCGCGCAGGCTTTAGTCCGGCTCGGCTGCTCCCTAACCGTGCTGACGGGGGTGCTTCCAGATTTCGTGACCAACTGCGCGCTGCAGCCCAACTCAACATATTGCTCAGGAATGGAAATCATGCATGTGAGAGCTCACCCCAGTTACCCTTCTCTGTGTTTCGTGGCCCGACAGTTGTGCACTGCAAACGCTGCGCACTGCTACCAGGTGCTCCACCTCGCCGGCGTGCAGGGCGGAACTATGCTCACGCTGTTGGGCGTCGTGGCGGAGACGGCGATGATCTGCAGGTCCGTATCGTGATGTTGTGGCCGACCCTTCACTCTGTCGAGTCTTTCCCCGCCTTTAGGGAGAAGCGGGCGCGGGGGTGGCGCCTTTGCGCGGCGGCGGCGCTCATCTTTGCCGCGAGTGCCGTCTGCTTTGGCTTTGCTGTCGCCTTCGTCAGCGTCAAGGGCACGGTGAGCAAGCCGCTCATTCACGGCTGCATCAACTACGAAAACGAGCACGCGTGCGAGGGAGCTCCCGAGTATGTCCCCGCCCGATGGTTCAACCTCTCTTTCGATCTTGAGCCCTGGCCGTGCGTGTGGCTCGGCGCCACTGCGGACGTCGCCGAGAGCGCTTGCCAGGACCCCCATTGCAAGGACGGCGGGCGGCTGTACAACAACCAGTGCTCGATTATCTATGAGTTCCACACACTTTTCTTCTGGCTCGTCTCGGTGCGTGCGTGCGCTATCGTCTGACGGCCCCTAGGAAAGTGGCTCCCTGAGCTGGCGCGCACTTCTGTCAGGTCAGCTGCTACCTCTTTGTCGTGCAGAAGGTCGAGCTGTGGGATGAGTTCTGCAGAAAGGGGCCGGACGGCGGCGGTAGAGGGACTGCGGCTAGGAGTACCGCGTCTGGGGGCAGTGCCAAGCTCAGCGAGAATGAGCTCGTCTGAAAGACCGCGCATCGAGCGTCGTCCGTTCCGTATGGGTTTCAGCATTTGTCAGGCTTTAGTGATAGTGTAGTGCACACGCACGCACACACACACACACACCACCACCACCACCACCACCACCACCACCACCACCACCACCACCACCACCACACCACACCCACACACCACAAGAATCTATGGTTGTTTTCACAATTACCTCCTCTGGGAAAAGTTATTTGGACCACCCCGGCTTCCGGACATCGGCGAACGATTGGACGGTGCCTCCAACTGAGGTCTGAGCCAAATGGAGCCCTGTGGGGGCGCAGCTGCGAGCCTAGCTCCAACTGATCCAAGCTCGATAGATGAATGAACCGAAACGTTCATCCCTCTGGTTTTTGTGTGAGTGAGTACACACACTCACACACACACTCTCTGATTTTCAGTTTCCACACCGGATTTTTTTTGAGCTAGCCTTCGTTGTTAATTAGGAACAAGCGAAGGCACACACAACATGAAGCCAAACACACGATTGCACGCACCGCACCGCACCCCGCACCCGCGCCCGCCGCCCCCCCCACCGCCCCGCCTAGGTGGGAAAGATGATGAGGAGATGGCGCGAAGAAAGAGAGATTTTTCCGCACGCAATTTTTTGTTTTGATCACCTCTCTCGGTTCACGCCACGCCCCCGGCACCTGCACCTGGCACACGCGAACACTATGCTCGCCGCAGCATCCATGCTCAGCATCGCCAATACCGTCACTCACGTGATTGGAGGGGATGGCCTGGACTTCTGGACCGACGACTCAGGCTATTGCAAGACAATCGTGGGCGAGTCGGAGGGCGTGCACCGCCCGGCAGGATTTTCTCGGCTCCACACGGCCGTCGGCGACCGCCTCTCCTTCACATTTTCGACACATCACGACCTCTGGAGCCTCGCCTCGCTCGAGGCCCTCGAGGCGTGCGACTTTGCCGGAGCCACGCTACTCGCCAACAGAATGGGCGGCGGCGGTTGCGACGACGAGGCTGACCTGGCCTGCATGGAGGCAGCGACGCCGTTTGTGCTCCGCGTCAACAATTCTGAGAAAGACCTGTACCTCGCTTGCAACGTGAGCGACCACTGCTTCAATGGGCATTTACGCCTCGTCGTGCTTATGAGTGAAGAGCGGGGCAGTCGTATACCGCCGGTGGTGCCTGATTAGGCAGCGCCTCGTCGTGCACACGCATGAGCAGCGGCCGCTGCCCCCGCGCGAGGTGGTGGTCCCCCTCTGGACCGACGACGCCGGGTACTGCAAGCCTCTCCCGCAGGCCTTAATCGCTGGAGAGCACACATGTGACTCCCGGCTGGTGGGGGTCGGGGGCACGCTCCGTCACCGTGCCCCTCTCCCTCCCTCACTTGTCGCAGGTCTTCCCTTGCAACGTCTCCGACCCAGAGACGTGCCAGCACCACGGAGAGCACCATCTAGCACCGGCGGCGTGGCCGCGCGGCTCGAGGTCGCCGCGACGCCAGCCGAGAGGGTGTCCGAGAGTATAGGCACGCACGGCGTCCGGCCGCACGGCCACCGGCGGGAGGGGGGCGGGCTGGCGCCGATCACCGTCCCTCTCGGCCTCGGCGGTGCTCCTCCGGCTCCTCGAGCGACGTGACAAGTACTCAGTCATTACTCACTGGTGAATAGGCACGAGACGTTCGTCATCCGCTACTCGTCACCACAATATGCGACAGTACATCATACTACTCAATGCTGCTTAGGCACGACGCTCGTCTTCCGCTACTCGACACACCACGACGTGTGGGCTCACCCGTCTGCAGGCGCACGTGGCAACCACAGGATCCACCTTAGGATCCACCTTACAGGAAGAGCTAGCACCGGAGGCAGAGGGGAAGGAGCCTGCCTCTCTCGTGACACGTGAGCGCACTGGCCGTCCCTGCGTCGGCAGAGTCCCTCGTCGCGTGCGACTACGAGGGCGCCCGGCTGCTGGCGGGCCGAGAGCACGGCGGAGGGTGCGAGAACGACGCCGACCTCGCCTGCATCGACGCGTCGGTTGGCTTCCGCCTCCGGCCGCGCAGCGTCGGCAAGTGGTTCCTCTCGTGCTCCGTCGGCACCCGCTGCGCCAGAGGGGGTCTCCGCCTGCTGGCCGACCCATTGTCATTGATCGCAGCCCTTCATACAAAAGGTGCGACCGCGCCCCCGGGGGTCGTGCGTGTCTCGCGAAGCAGCGAAGAGAGCTTGTTCGTGCTCACTCCTCCAGGCGACCACTGCGCCAACGGGCAGACGCTCGTCGTCACTGTCGCCGAGCCGGCCCCTCTTGCGCCGAACGGCCTCTACACGTACGCAGACGTCGACCAGCCCGCCCTCATCCCCTCTGCCTTCCCGCTCTTCGCAAGCAGATTCGCCCCCTACCCGGGCTACTTCGGCCCGCTCGCGTCCGTCTCCGGCCAAGTCAGTCGGCTTGCGGCGCGGGGGAGGCTAGATGCGGAAGGGTCGCCACATTCCGACTAGCCATCGAGAGACTACCGGTGAGAGGTCCCGCGGTGCTCGTCCGCTGTATGGTGCTCGTGTCCCTTGCATTCCCCTCGTCTTGACGCGAGATGCGCTGAATACACGGGGCAGCGCCGGTCGAACAGTACCTTACCTTCCCTTACCGTACCTCGAACAGTGGGCTCTGGTCCATGAATCAACCATGCATTCGCTTCTAGGTGGGAGGAAGCCCGGCAACGCTGACGTTCGACTACTCGTTTACCGGCGCTAGAACCCGCCGCGAGGCGACACCGGGGGTGGGCGATGGAGAGAGGCGCCCACAGCGGCCGGAGACCGAGCGTGAATAGGAGTCGACCCGCTGTGCCGAGAACCGCAGGACGCGCAGAACGCGTGCGGCGTCCACGTCCACGCAGGCGGGCGCCGCGCGCCCCACCGCACGCACGCCGGGCTTTGCACTCTCAACGCCGCGGGGCTGCTCTTTCGGCGATGGGATGCTCACTCCCCCCCGGAAGGGAGGACGCTCGCGTTTACCTGCCCGTGACCTCACCTCAGGCACGTCCTGCTCCGACGAGAGCCTCGTGCTCGGGCACTACTTCAAGGTGCCGAGATCTGGTCCGAGATCGAGATCTGGTCGCCTGCCCTCCTCCTCGGCCACTCCTTCTTCAAAAGAGGCTCTGCTCTTGTCCGGGTTGCTCTTGTGTGTCCTCCGCCCACACACACCCTCCCGTCGCACTCTCGCGGGTGAGCTCGGTCATACGCTCGGGTATCCTCGGGCAACCTCGGGTAGCCTCGGGTAGCCTCGGGTAATCTCGGGTGCCCGCAGGTGTCGTCTGACCCGTGGCTCTCCGTGGCCTACGTCGCGACGGCCGCCCTGACCGGCGAGCGAGTCGGAGGAGGCGACGGCCGCTCAATGAATGGGCCTCCTCACGCTAGTAGGCGGACGGGGCGGCGAACGGCTCGGTCGAGGTGACGACGGGGGGGTCCCTTTCCGATTTTGCCGGCCGGGCGTTTTTTGTGCCCGACCCGCAGGGCCGCAGGATCCCATGCGGGCTTCTTCCCGAGACGGCCGCGTTGGACACCCTCACCGTGTACGAGGAGTTTGGTTGGGCCGGCGCCATTGCCGGGGGCTTCCTACTCGGGGGGGGGGCACTCGCTTGCCTCTCCACAATCCCTCCCCGTTGGGGGTTCGCCCTCGGCTTCCTTTTGCCCGGGGGGGTGCCCCCCCCCCCCCCCCCCTACCTCTCTCGCGCCCTCCCTGCCCCCCCCTCCACCCCCTTCCCGCGCCGCAAGAGTCAGTGCGCACCCCTGACACACGCGCCCCTCGCGAGTCACTTGCGGAGTTGGCTGGGGAACGACAGGCATGCTCGCCACTCCCCTCCTCGTCGTCTGCTACCGCCTCGTCTGCAAGAGCGGCTCCGCCGCACGCCGGTGCGTCGCCCTCTCGTCCCACGAGAAAGAACTCGTACAACACACACACACCCTGACCACCCCTCCCCGGCCATAATCATAGGCACGTCGTCCCTCGGCACGTCTCCCCAAACGTCGTGGAGATCCGCGCCCCGCCGATCCAGCAGCCCAACCCACCCGCCGCCGCGCGGGCCGAGGGCGCCTCGGCTTTGCCCGGCTGGGGCGTGGAGGTGGTCGGGGCGGCGTGAGCCGCGAGAGGGCGGACGATTTGAAGTGGATGAGGTGCACCGCGGCGCGGAGGCGGGCGCGCACGACATTGATGCAACATGGATGCACATTGGCCTCTCCGCCTACCCTGGCTGTTTTGTTTAGACGCAGGCACTGTCCTCACTCTGTTATTCGCCCGAGGGCGAGAGGCCCGAGGCCCCCCGAGGGGAGACCGGAGTGTCCGGATCCGAGCGTGCGAGACTACCTGCGGCTTTACCACATAGACATCGATACATGTGCATGTGCATGTGCATGTGCATGTGCATGTGCATGTGCATGTGCATGTGGAGCGCGCTGCGTCCGGTGTGCGCCCCAAGCTCCCCGACGCCCGAGGCCTCGAGCGGTCGAGCGTATGTCTCGCGTGTTACAGATATCACTTTTTCAGTAAAACACGGCGTCGTCCGTTGCGTTTCTACTTCTTCACCCCCCCCCCCCACACACACACAACACACCTCAACTCTCGTCACTGTCAGCCTTTTCTTTCGAGAATTGGTCCACCTCATCGCATGGAGGCCTCTCATGCGAATCTACAGCCCTACGGGCAACCCGAACCACTCCCACACGCCAATACACGCGCGGCCGGCGCCTCTCATGCCCTTCTCCACGCACACCGCGTGAAAACTGCGCGTACGTCCCCGCGCGCACGCAAACACGCGCAGCGCCATTTCAGAGCTGTGCCATGTGCGCAAGCCCTGTGCTGGCGCCCCATGGCCGTCCCGAGCCGCCCGCACCAGCCACGCGCCTCTCGCACCACCAGAGACAGCCGCATATCCACTCACGCCGCGACGCGCGCGCCGCAGTGCACCCCTCACTGCAGTCTGCGCCCATTGCACAAGCGCCTGCACCTTCTTCAGGCACCATACCGCACCGGAGCGCGACGCGACCGGCAAGACGCTTCACCGCGAGGCGCGCGCGGCGGCACGCCGCGCGCGCAGGCCACCGAGCACGCGCTCCGTTACCCGAGCAGGGCTGCTGTGCAGTCTGCATGCAGACTGCACCGCAGCCCTGCCTGTTCTGAACATTCAGCCCGCGTGCTCCGCACTGCGCCCCTGCCGCCTCGCGCCTGACACGACGCAGATCCTGCACTGCACGAGGCGCGCGCGTGGCACGCTGCGCGCGCGCTCCGCCATCTCCGTTCAGTCTCCGCTGTCCAGTCTGCCTGCTGCCTGCACACAGCACACATGCAAGGCACATGTACATGTGCATGTGCACACGGCGATGCAGCCCGCACCCCGCGACAGTCGCCTGCCTCACGTCGAGCCCGCGCATGCCGCACGCGGTACTGTGCGCACTGTCTGTACGACAAACGGCCTGTACTCTAGTGAAATCATATAATGGTCCCAAAAAGAAAAACGAAAACAAAAACAGCCGAACACCCCGATGGAGAACGCCGAGTGCCAGACCACCAGGGGGCAAGTGTGTGTAGCACCTTCGACCCCGAAATGAAGGTCGCCACGCAAAACCGGGCGCTAGGAGAGGTGAACTGAAGGCTGAGACAACGGAGGCCGAGCCTGAGTGGGCGCCCGCGCGCCCCCACGCAGGCAAGCCTCTGTCCTTCGGCCCACTCCGGCGATCGTCCGTGGGCGGCCGCGGACAACATGGTGCCTAATCAATTCCCCCAACACCCGACCCCACTCTAGGGACAGCAGCGCGCTTCTCATCCCGGAGAGGGAAGGAGGGGGGGGGGGGGGGGGAGATCAGAGAGCCAAGCACGGGAGTACCCCCGATGGACGCGAGTAGGGGGGAAAGCGAGACGAGAGATTCAAGGCGAACTTCATCACCCGTCCAGGAGCCCCGCATTAGGTAGCGACCCCAGGTTCAGAGCTAGGCTTCCCGACAGGGCAGGGAACCCCCAGCGCGCAGGCGGGGCCCACGGTAAAGTAGCCTCGTGCAGTACGCGATACCGAGAGCTGGGGGAGAGGCGCGCCACGCCAAGGGGGACAAGTGACGGGGGGGGGAGAGTAGTGTCTTTCGCAGGTAAAACGCAAATTTTTTTTTCGTCACCGTCAGCATCCTCAGGCTCGTCTCAGCTTCCGCCGCCCCTCCCGCTGCCTCCGGCTCCGCCGCTCCCGGCAGCAAGATCGCCGCTGCCACTGCCGCCGCCACCGCCCGCGTCACGCGCGGCCGGAGGCTGCGGTGGCGGGTCCCAGACGTGCGAGGGCGAGGCGAGCACGAGGGCGGTGGCGGAGAGCGAGACGGCGGTGGCAAAGAGGAAGGGGAGGGCGGGCACTCCCACCGAGCAGCCGAGGCCGAAGAGGTAGCCGTATAGCGTCGGGCCAACCACCTGGCCCGGCGGGCGGGGCGCGGGGCGTGGGGCACGCCACCGCTGAGGGTCACCGCCGAGGCGGGCAGGGAAAGGGAAGGTGACGCGGCGGCGGCGGTGGGG